AAAAGCCAAGGAGAATAAGGAGGACGAGGAGGAGGACGAGGAGGAGGAGGAGGAGGAGGAAACGGAAAATGAGGAGAGAGAGGAAGAGAGAGGCCTTCGCGTATTTTCTAGTATCTGAGGCTCATGAACCTCCTTTGGGGCATTCAGGCTTCCTCTTTTGGCCCTTTTGGGTTGGGGGTCTTGGGGCCTCATTGCAGCTCTTATAAGGGAGTATTTGGGCCATTGTGGGTCAAAAAGGGGAACTTTCAATTCGACCACCCCCCTCGCCCTGTTGGATGATGAGATGTGACCTCTTGGCGCGCTCTTGGGCCTGTGGAACTCTTGGAGCTCTCTTGGGCCATTTTGGGGCCATCTTGAGGCCTCTGTGGCTCATGAGAAGCGAAAGCGCGAGAAGGCAACCATCATTCGATTTCGTAAGGTTTTCCTTCAGGTTTCCCTTGGAGGATGTCCTTTGAGGGCTCGAAGGGCTCCTGGGGGTGTCCTTGAGGGGCTCCGGGGTCTCTTGGGATTGTCTCGGGGCCGTATTGGGGCATCTCGGAGCTATGTCGGAGGCCATCACGAGACATTTCTTGCTATTTTGTACCATTTGTGAGTCCATCTTGGAGCATCGTGGCTCGTCTTCCTCCTCGGCTCCTCCCCTATCCGAATAGGGAAAGAAGCGGGATTGGAGGAGGAAGGGGTGATCAGTTATACTATCTACGCCCAGCTACTATCTACACGTGTGAAATTGTATTAAACAACTTCCTCTCCTCATCCTCTTCTCCCTCCTGTCATGCACAGGTCGACGCGTTTGTCGAGTACATCTCCAAAGCGAAGGCGGCTGCAGCTGCGACGGAGATTGTGCCCTATGCGCATCGCGTTGACCCATCCCATGCACCTTGAAACTTTGGGTAAACTCCCATACCATCAGGGGAGGCTAAACGTACCCCTCAGCAGACTTACCCTGGGGAGGGGTCCTCGGGGCCCTCCTTGGGATGCCCAGGCACCAGGTCCTGGCGCATGGTGCGGCGCGAATCGTGGCCCTTGCGACGCCTCACTGGGAGTACGTCGCTTTGGGGGACGTTTGGGCCCTCCCCCACCATCGCGCAACCCCACTCGGCCGCCACCACTGAGGGTGAGGCGATTCGGGGGTGGACAGAAGCCCCACCCTGACACGTCGATTAGTGAATTGTCCGTCCTCGGTTCTCGAGAGGGCGCCGCGGCCGTCATTTTTCAGGCTTGCGCTCGCCAGGTTTGGGCGCGAGGCCGTTTTCACCAAACCACGCTTTGCGAAAGGGGGGTCTGTCCATCCCCGAATGATGGCAACCGTGCTGGAGGCCCGAGGTCAGCCAACTTTTGCGCGCACTCGTCCAGTTATAATCCGCGGCACGCGCCGCTCCTCACCACCCGCCTCGCCCCCCCCTCCAGTCCTCCTGCTGCCGCTGCTCCTCCCCCCGTCCTCCTGCCCAGCAGTGGCTCTTCCTCACCCTCCTCATTCCAATCGCCTCCTTCGCCTCCTTTGCTTCCTCCTCCTCCTCCTCCTCCTCCTCCTCCTCCTCCTCCTCCTCTGCCAGTTGCTCCTGCTCCCCCACTCTGATGTCGCACGGGACTGCTTCGTCGTGGGCGGCCCTTTCCGCTCGGCCCCTGGCCCCTGCCGAGCTGACTTCTGTTGCGTCGGCGCGGCACGTCCCGGAGACACGTCCGGGACCAGCGGCGGCCGTGCGCGAGACAAGGCGTGCTTCCGCCCCTCCCTCCGCTTCTCGCCCCCTCCCCGCGCCCCCTCCCTCGCGCTCTCCCTCGCCCCCTCCCTCGCCCCCTCCCGCGCCCCCTCCCCCGCGCCCCCTCCCTCGCCCCTCTCCGCCCCTGCCCCCCCCCCTGCCTGCCCGAGGCCCCCCCCTTCCGCGCTGCTGCTCGCTCCGCCCGCACGCCGCCCCCTGCGCCGGCCCCGTGGCCGGCCGGCGGTGCGCGCCCTCCTGCCTCGCACCTGGGAGGGGCGGCGCCCCCGACTTGGTGGCGAGCGAGGGGTGGGGGATCCGAAGGTTTTTTGAAGCAGGTCGTTGAGATCGGTATCGTTTATCCGATCCCCATCCCCATCGAAGAGATGAGGATGAGGAGGAGGAGAAGGAGGAGGAGGAAGAGGAGGATGATGATGAGGAGGAGGACCAGCAAAACCCCATATTCATCAACGATGTTGGAATAAACCCTCCCTCATCCCCTTCGAGACCTTCATTAAATTATCATCCCAGTTGGGGATACACCCCTCGAAACCCGAAGGGGACGGCCCATCTCCCCATCTAGGGGGGTAAATCGGCCAGTGGGGCCCAGGCCACGCCGCTGGGGATGGGGATCGGAGAAATGATACTCAGGAGGGCCTTCCCCTTCTCACTTCCCCCCCCTTCGCTCGCCGCCGACCCGAGGCCGACGAGTGGAGGGAGGGCGTGGTGACTTGCGCGGACCCGCTGCTGATTCGCCCCGGCGGTTACGAGGACGGCCCTCCCGCCCCCGTGCCGGCGGGCCGCAG